TGTGGAGAGCTTGACCATGACGTGTTGCCATGGTCAATCTAGAGTGCGGTATGCCAGCTCAGAATTCCAAGCGAACAAATGGTACATAACGCACGAAGGAATACCTTGCACGGAGGTTCTTAAGAGCGTTATGAGGGATGCACCTCAATCGACGGCATCAATGCATCACCACATCTCATATATGTTGACTAACACATACTAATGTGCCAGTTTCTGAAGCGCGTGTGGCCCTACCCTCTCTTCGAAAAGAGTAGTGTAGAAGAGACTGTCATGGGCAAGTGCAATGTCCCGTGGTTTAACATGCTCGATAACATGCTCGATCTAAAGTAATGTAAATTGCCACGTCCATGATGAAGTCAATGAGAGCAGTAAAGGAGCTGGTTAAGCAGATGCAGGAACAACTTGGAGCAAAAGCGAACGCGATAAAAGTGTCCGCGCGGAGGTCGACTAAATACTGTAAAGCATGTCACTGTAGCACCCAACACGTAAGATCGACACGAGGATACGATGGTCCGGTCCTTTCACACCAGGAGAAGCCACATTCCGCCCAGCAGCCCGGTCACCGTACCCACGCCCATCCATCCGCGCTGCGTGGACCATCTTGGGCTCGCACCGCTACTAGATGAGAGTTCCGAACCCCCTGATACGGTAGCTGAAGAGGAAGCGCCAATTAGGCTAAGCCATTGGCTGTAGTCGAGGATAGTGCCTGTGTGGGAAGGCGCGGCGGGAATGGTAGTCGGTGCGAAGGTGGGGGTGAAGGTCGCGAGGATGACTTCAGTTGCGCCTGGTGCAGTGGGAAGGATGTCAGCATACATAGAGCATCGATATAGTTATTGATGATGAGGCACACCTGCTGCGTCCGTGGTGGTATAATAATAGGTGGTGAGACCGGCTTCGGTTGATGTTGGTGCCCCAACGACCACTGCGGGCGTAGTCGTCGTTGTCGTCGGGATTGCAACAGGCGTCGTCGTCGTCAGCGGTGTGGTAGTCGTCGTCGGCGCGGTAGTCCTCGCCGTTGTTGTAAGAGCCGTAGTGAGCTCCGTGTCTGTGTCTGTGGCCGTATCCGTTAACGCGCCCGCGAGAATAGTCGACCTAGATGCATAATTTCCGGATCAGCGATCGCCCACCATCGAGTGCGCTATATGCACGCACTCTATGGATGTCGTGACTAGGCCTAATGGATCGAGCGTGATCAATTCGACGACGGTGTAGCCATACCTATGCGTGCAGTGTCAGTCAGTCCCGGAAGCGCTGCGCAGTCGGTTTCAAAAAGCAGGCGCCGCTCACTCGTCGGTAGTGGTGATCAACTGCGCGTATATGGGGAGCACACAGGCGGCCGCAGCGGCAAGAGACAGCAGGGAAGGCCGCATGTCGGATGCAGGCGACGAGACGGGGTTACAGCCCAGTCGAGTGGCGACATCTCTGTGCGAAGGCGTCATGACGTCGACATTCGCGCGCCTAACGCGTCCACTGTCCAACTCGCGCTCCACTCTGCCATCCACTCACCGCTTCTTGTTCATCGACGTCGCTCTCTGCTTTCCATCCGCTCGTCGCTTCCTGTCCATCGACGCCTATGTTCTCAGAGACGAAGAACACGCACCTACATGCCACGACTCGGCGCTCAATATGGTCCGTTCGCGCACTCTGTCCAGCTGGGTGCCTCCACGATAAAGGTACCTGCAACGATCATATGGGTGACTGCAGCGAGCCAGCCAGGGGTCCATAGTGGAGAGTCTTCAAGTGTTCGCGATCGGCGGCGGGTGAGGCCGTAGGTTGACATGCAGGTGAGTGCGCCTCCCTTCGGTGACGGTGAGACTCCGCGTCGTGTGGAGGGAAAGAGCGAGGGGTGCATTGAGCAAGACAGCAGAGGCACTGCGATGCGAGTCGTGAACGCTCCTCGCGCGCATCGTGCTCACAGTCGCGCAGACG